CCACTAGAGAGAAGAATGGATGGACATGGAAGACAGGGGCTGAAAGAAGATTGAAAGCTGTCAGGAGGGAGAAGCTCACATCAGCACAATTTGAACAGAAAATTGTGAGCCATGGTGTTGTCTGGAAATGAACAGAGAATGTTGGTGGTGGCTACAGAGGGTCCAGCTGTAAAGGCTTTGTCTTTTCATCCCATCTTCCTCCTGAACCCATCTTGGGCGGGAGAGGAAATGTGAAGAAGCCCACTAGAGTGGCTGGGAAGGTGGCTCTGTTGTAAAGTGCTTGCCTTGCACACATGAAGTCCTGGGTTTGACTCCTCAGCACCACATAAGCAGAAAAAGCCGGAAGTGGCACTGTGGCTCAAGTGATAGGGTGCTAGCCTTGAGCTGAAGAGTTGAGGGACAGTGCCCAGGCCCAGAGTTCAGGCCTCATGACCAACACACACACACACACACACACACACACACACACACACACAGCCCACGAGATCATGTCTTGGCCAAAGGATCCTAACTACAAGAAGAAACAAACACTCTGCATGTGTCAGAAGAGCTGTGATACCTATTGGAGTATAGGCCTTATGTTTGAAGCCTGTTCAGTTCTTTCAATCACCCGCATAGAGAAAATCTCTCCTTTGTGAAGAGAGATCCCTTATATTAGAGTCATCTCTATTACCTTCAAGAAGCCAAGTTGACTCATCTTCATCTAAGGAAATATCCCATGGCACATCGTGTCTGAAAGAGGTCCCCATTATTGACACCTCATTCCCCACCCCAAACCAACTCTGTATTTTTGGCCTTTCAGGGGCGAAGAGAATACAGAAGCACTTCTCTGCTAGTCTGTGTTCATTAAGTGACTTCAGCTTCTTCATCATGGTCCTTATTCCTTTCATGTTTCCCTTTAATGGCAGCTTATATTCATTTTGTTCAATATACTTTTGCGGAGGACCAATCATACGTTGAAAATATTGAAATCAATACAATATGTGACATGATCCCATACTTCAGAGCACATGTTCTAGCAGAGCAAAACATACAGTCACAAGTAGGACAAAAAAGAGAGATGGTAATGGGATTCAATGCTGGGCAAGGAAGAGTACAATTAAATCAAGATTTCTTTGATGGTCTTATTTAGAGTGGAAAAAGGATGATTTGAATAGAATAATAAAAGTGGAGGGGGTATGAGAGTGAAAATCAGAGGGCAGAGAAGCAGGTGGCTGATTTGTAGACTATGAAGTATTGGAGTTTGTAAGTACCGCTGAATTCTCTGAGAAGAAAAATGAGAGCCAAGGGCAGGAAAGTAGTTTGTTATGAGATTTCCAAAGGGCCCCAAAGACCAGGACATTTGTACTTTGATAGCTAATAGGGGAGTAATTTGAGGTCTGTGAGTGGGCGAGTGATGCAATTGAAAATATGTCTTAGGAAGAACAAGTAGAAGCCTATTGCAATTGCCCAGCCAAGAGGTAATAAAGCTCTTAAGTAGGATGGTTGCTGTGGTATTTGGAAAGAAATCAATAGTTTGGAGAGGCTTTGGGGAGGAGACTAAATGGGGCCTGTATTCTGATTGCATATGCCTTTACTCACCCTCTATTTGACCCTTATTCCTTTCTCTTTCTGATCATAAAGCTGTAGGAGGTATCCCTTAACACACATTTCTATTTCCTGAAAAATTTCTCATTATTATTAGATAAAGCTTCATTTGCAATAACTATGAAATACACTCCAAAGGACAATTCTTGAGGTTCAAAATGAGGAGATAATATCCCACATCTATGTTTGTATTGTGTCTTCTCTATATTTTGACTTTCAGGTAGATTTTTCACTTACTTTTCCTGAGGATCTTACTCTAAAACAAAAATAAGCATATATAAATGCAGCTTTTTGGGAGCTCTTATTTATATATACAGAATGGAAATCAGAATCATAAAATTAAAGTTATTAAAATGATACTAAATTTATCTCTTGTTCCATTATGCAGCTTGAAGAGTAACTTGGCTCTTTAAGAGCTTTAGAATATTAATTTTACAAATTTGAAAAGGATTCTGACAATAGAATTGTATAACAAAATTATAAGAAAGTAAGAGAAGCAGTCACCAAAATAATTGAGTTGATAATTCAATTGTTAAATAAAGTGCAGGTAATGCATTTACTATTCTATTTTTAAAGGCTAGAGAAAAGTACAAATATTTTGTACATTTATGTTTCTATTTTTTAAAATCATTTGTGGGTTATGGCTAAAATGAGTTGAAATTACCACTATGTAGCAACAGGAAAGAGATGCCCTGTGGTAAGTCTTTTTTCTGGAAGTTTTATCCAGGGAGATATATTGCATTTATCTATCTCTGATGTGAGAGCTTTGAGTTTCTTGCCAGAGGTATATATGGTAACACAGGCAGCAGATGACAGATACGCCAAGGGAAAGCAGGAGTGTTCTGGAGCAGCTGGGTGTGTGATGCTACTAAGGCACACAATGGTATAACTAACAGAGTCTGTGTCAATGAACTAGAAAATGAGGGGCTTATTTTCTGTTCAAACATGAGTGATCTTCCTGATAAAACAAGCAACAAGATATAGCTAGCCCTTGGATTAGCAATCTTAAACACAGCAGACAAAATCAGCTCTGGCACAAGTGCACAGGGTAGTAAGAATAACTTTCACAAAAGTACAACACTGTCTCCCTAGCTGTGAAGAATTGGTTCCAAGACACCCTTCCTCATTCCTAAATCTTAAGATGCTCAAGAATCTTCCATGAAATGGCTTAGTTCATATACAATCTCTGCATGTTCTGTAAATTTTAAATCACATTTCAGTTACTTATAATTTCTAGTGAAATGTAAATGTGATCTCAAAAGTTATTACATGATATCACTCAGAAGAAGGGCAACGGAATAGCTATATGTGATTAGTACAGATGTAGGTGGGTTTTTTTCTGAATATTTTCCACCATGGTTGAATGTACAGATGTGGATCCCATGGACCCAGAGGGATGTCAGTACAACTGTAACTGAATCCTCTCCCTAAACACTGTGCTTGTGTTGTTTTATTTACTAAGCCAACCTTCTTAGATTCATTTATTTTATGAAATAACAGTATCAGAGGTGACATTGCTTCCCCAACATCTGCTAAATCAGGATTTAATATAAAAAGCTTCATTTCAGAAAATATGGATAAAAGGTGAAACCTATATTCATAGTATTCTTAAAACAATGAAAGTGTTTCCAAATCAATAGAACAAAATAATGTGTAAACTATATTTCAATAGATATATACACATGCACATATATATATATACATATATGTATGAATTTAAAAATTTTAGAGCACTGCAAATCATTAAGAAAAGTAGCCAGTACTAAATAAATACATAAAAATCATTGGCTATTGGAGGGGGATGGGAGGTGGGATAAAGCTAAAGCTGTGCATTTTGTTAAAAAAAAAAAAAGAAATGAAAAAGTGCATTTCCAGACATTTCTAGTTGTTTCAGAGGTTGAACTCAACTTCACTTGTGGGGTATAGTAATTGAGTTGGAGAATATTTGCTTTCAGAGAATGCAACAGTTTTATTAAAAATGCCTTGGAGGAAAGATGTTTGAAAGGCAAAAAGAGACCAGTGTTGTGTTTATCTCTCTAGTGTCTCCTAAATGCACCAGAACAAAATACATTCCCATGAGCTTTCTGGGCCATGAACTGGGCATGTGTACTTTCTGATAGGAAAGTGGTTACTATCATCAGGGTTTGAGGGTTAGATTATTTTTCTTTGTTATTCATGGAAAATAAGAGACAAGGCAATAAGAGTATAAATAGAAATTCACCTTGGGACAAGATTGAGAAGGATAAAGACTTCAAAGAAATGTGCAAAAAAAGAGACAAAGACGAAAAAATAAATAAGACAATAATGAAATGAGACAATAATGAAAATAAATAGAAGTTGAATCTGGCAAGACCAGTGAGTACTCTTCCCTTGGCTACTCTTCCCTTGACTGTCCTAGGCCCCTGGGCAGGAGGAATGAAAAAGATACAAGTAGCTTTAACTTTGGTTCGGTCCCTCTTTTTTCACCTTGACCTTGCTACTATTATTAAATAACTTTTTAAGATTTGCTGGCTCCCTTATAGACTTACACTTCCCTTTGTTTTTCTCTTTCTATGAAGATCTATTACCAGAGTATTTTAGAAGATTTTGCATGCATTGCATATATGTGTTCTACACATATACCGATATATGTGTATGTATACATATGCATATACATATATATGTGTGTATACATATGCACACACACACACACACATATATACTGTTCTGTATTCTCTTATTTTGGCTCTGATATTTTATCTGCCCTATTTAATAATATTTCATACTTATAAACAAAACCTCTGGTACTATCTTTAGAGCAGATGCTGGGAAAAATAGATCTTGGGTCAGAATGAACATCTGAGATTTATGGGACATGATAAATGTTCCTTTGGAGCCTGGTGGGTTTTCTGAAAGGAAGAGAGGTGCGCTCAATGGAGTCTGTGTGTGTGTGTGTGTGTGTGTGTGTGTGTGTGTGTGTGTGTGTGTGTGTGAAGAACAAGAATTTCTTCTCCCATCTGAGCCATTTATCTTTAGAGAAAGGTTTTCTTCTATGATAAGAAAAGTTGTGAACTCGCAAAAGTATTTATATATATATTGAAATTTAAGTTTATGAGGCAGTTTAAATTCCACCAAATTATTTTTGGGTTGTCACAATTTAATAACTCTAGCCTATGTAATGATAGGATATGAATGGTGGACGCTCTGGAGTTGAGAACTCTTTGAGATTGCATGTAACATTGAGCATATACGTGCATTTTTCTAGACAGGTTTTCTAGCTGTCATCCTAGTTCAGCCTGTAACCCTAAAATGATTAAGAACCAATAAACAAGTCATTAAAAATTGAGAAATTAACCCGCACAATAAGGACAGTTTTTTCCTTCATAAAATATAGGGCTTTTAGCATAGAGTTCTTACATAAATGCTATACTTACATCAAGAGCCACAGACTGCTTGGCCCAGGACTTTTTTACTTGATCATACATAATTGTGTTGTTAATACCAAGCCCACAAAAGATTACAAAAGCCTGTAAAAGGGAAAAGTCATTAATTAAAAGTTGTAATAACTTATGAGCAAAGTGCAATATGAAAATGATTGTCATTAGGGAAGGATCTGGAAGCTAACATTTATTGTAGGCAGAGGTGAGCCGTAAGGACATATAGGCATTTAAATTAATTACTATTGTCATGACTTTAATGCTCACTTTACACATAGGAAAAGTTATCTATTTAATGTCATCATAAAGGCATTACTTCATATGTGTAAAACTATACAGTCTGTTTAAATGTGCTCTTAACTTATTTAGGTTGTATACTGATTTTGGTCATTCTGTTCTATTCGACCAAAAACAATCTTGTTCAGTAATGAGGCTATAAAATATTTTAGCAAAGACATTAAGTGAAAGTAACTGTAAGATAAGAGGTAGGGAAAAGGAAGATTGATTAAGAACCCATTGATAAGGAAACTGTAAGATACTTTCAGCTAGAGAAAATAATGATGGGGTTTTCTTACGAGCTTCTGGAAGCTGCTTGTTAGCTTAGGAAGCCTGTTCAAGGCTAACCCTTTGATCTTGGGATGGGATGAATGGGATTTTGTTAACACAAAACCAGGTGAAGGTAATACACCTAGAAGAGTGAGGATGGCCCTTAGGACTCCGAATGCCTGTGAACGAGACAGGGATAACACTAGAACTCTTAAGAGGGGAACACTGTAACAAAATTCTGAAATAAAATTAGGATAAAAGCATCAAAAGTTAAAAGTAATGTGATAAATGAAAAATATGATCATTATATATAATTTACATATTCTTTAAAATGTCCCTTAAATCTTGGCACAATATGTAAATATAATAATGATTAAAATTATGGTCCTTATAAATAGGAGCAAATTTGATTAATAATGATTTATCATTATAAATAGGAACAAATTTGATTAATAATTATTTATCCTTATGAATAGGAGCAAACTGTGGTGAGTAGAGGATTGGTGACTCAATGTGACCTCTGGTTTGTAAATCTATTTTCTTACCTCAAAAAGTCGTTGATCTGCATCATCAAAAGGTTTCCCATCAAGTCTATTCAACACTTGAGCTACACCTATAGGAATAATTTGAGATACATGGTCATTTTTAGTACAGGTACTATATCACTGTAAAAGGGTAGGCCATAGCCAGGCCTATATTTTTATTAAGTAACTCAAGCATTTAGCTTATGCTTCTATATATCACAACTCTATTATAACTATCATATATAAAGAATATATAGGCATACATATATACATATACAATTACTCTATATGATCTAATCTATATATCAATATATCAATCTAGTTACTATCATCTATCTATCTATCTATCTATCATCTATCTACCTACCTACCTACCTACCTATCCATTCATTTAAGGCTTAAGAGAGGCATTATGGAAAAATGATTAAGAACACAGGTTTTGAATTTAGGTGATCTAGTTTAAACTGCAATTCTACTATCAGCTCTGAAGCTCTAACTTTTGGGGGGAGGGGTACTGATGTTTGAACTCAGTGACTCACACTTCCTAGATAAGTGCTCTGGCATATAAGTTATACCCCCAGCCCTTTTGGTTGTAGCTTGTTTTTCAAGTAAGGTTTCATGATTTTTGCCTAGGCCAGATCCAGACAGTGGTATTTCTACCTCCACCTCTCAAATGCTGTGATTTCAGGCATGCACCACCTCACTCAGCCTTTATTACCTCGCTTTCTTAGCATCAAAATTCCTCAAGAGGGGATTTAAATGCTATTTCATAGAGTTATGAAAATTAATGAGACAATTTAAAAATTTTATTATGTTTATTTAAGATGTAACATGTTATGGAACACATATAAAAGTAAAAAGGTTATTATAGTAAAGGAAATTAACATCCAGCAGTTCACATAGACAGTTATTTTGGTTTTGGTTTCAGAACAGATACAAATCACTCATTAATTATGAGCTCAAGTGCAATACAATTTTGTTACCTACATTCTTCTTATGGTACATTAAATCTGTAGATGATCTCATCTTACATATTTGTTACTTTGTATCGTTTCATTTTTTAACCACTGTTTTATCCTCTATAGACAGAAAAATATCTAAATGTTTACAAAACATTTAGCATATTGCTTTGCATAAAGTAAATGATCAGGAAATTATAGGAGCTACCACAAAAAACAAGGACTATTATCACACGGTTAACTTTCAAAATAAAGGCAGTTGTATTGTCTGCTATCAGAATGATTTACATAACTCTAATAAACCTAATAGTGTTTCACTTTCCAAAGTTTATTTCCAGCATTATTCCATTATACCAAATTTTAGGTCATGGCATTCAAATTTTAACAGTCTAATCAGAAAAACAAGCCTGCAAAATACAAGCCTCTGCCTTCATTTAATACAAACAGAAGACTGCATCTGAAATGTACTTGTATTTTTTAAAAACACAAATTCTCATTAGGGAGGTAATTTATCATATCAAAAAAATAATAAAATAAAAATTTGAGCATATAACTAGAAAACTAGAGCACTAATTTTGAAGGAATAACAGATATTTACTACTATTAAATCAGCAGATAACATATGTTATTATTTTTGGGGGGATATAGGGAATTGAACTTGAAATTTCTCTACTACTTGAACTACACCCTTCCTCCTTCAGTTATTTTGCTTTTCAGTTTGTTTTCTAGATGGTGTCTTGGATTACAGATGTATACCATCATACCTAGTCACACATGGAATTTTAATGGATTCTTCTCTGTTGTAAATACAAATAGGTTTAAAATTTTACATAATGTAAGATAATCCCCATTTGTACTAGGGACTCAGATCCCTAGATCCTAGAATATTTCTTTATGTCCAATGATGTAGGTTAAACAACCTGATGAAAAACTTATTTCAGAATTCAGGTCTTGATAGCCATCACAAAGTATTAACTCTTTTGGTAGGCAGCAGTGTCTTAGAATTTAGCAGGAAATCTTAGCAAGAAGTAGAAAGAGGCAAATAGGTACTTCATGTACCAAATCACATTTCCATATATTTCAATAATTTTAACTAATGCCTCCACCCTTCATGAGTATTTTAACCATGAACTATCCACACTTAAGCTTCTCTACCAAGCTTCCCCTTTTATTGAGTTTTTTAAGGGAAGCATAAAAGGCAATGAGGGAGGGAAAAATAGTAGAAGCCATTCAAAAAACCTCAATCCCTTTTGCAGCTTATTTCAGAACTATGCAGATAGGAAGATACACATTCAGTATATGTCTAATTCTGTAAGTTCCCTCTGCCTTTGTATTTATAGTGTTTGTAAAAGCAGTAACATAAAAACATAATAGTGACATTTTTACTAGGAGTTAGACGGCCTGAGCATCAATCCTAACCTTTTTACTAACTTTGTGACCTTGGTCAAGGTATTTCTCTTAGTCTCTCTTTCTCTGTCTTTTGTCTTAGCTTCAATGTTTGCAAGGTGAGACATAATAATTGTTTGTTGCCTTCAAGTTGATTGATTCTTTGATACTTGCTTATAGTCTGATCAGTGTCTATATATACTCATTACCAATCATGCTTAGATGATTAGACAACAATATGGGATATAGCTTAGTGAATCCTGAACATATAATAGGAACATATAAAATTGAGTATAGTTTAAAGCAAAATTGTTTCTTTATAAAGTATGTTAGCATTGCTTGGATCAGGTCTTACCAATTATTTGGTGGTTGCTATTCCAAATGGGGACGCAGAGAACAGATCTTATGTGAAAACCAGATATCTGGTCAGCCTAGGGTATAAAAAAAGCTTATTAAAGTTGTGTATTAACCATCCACTAGAAGTTGTTTTGAAGGCTGACATGGTAACACACACCTGTAATCCCAGTACTCAGTTGGCAGAGGCAGGAGGATCCTGTGTTCAAGGACAGCATGGGTTATATAGCAAGACCCTGTTAAGAGTTATTTTTATATGTTATAATCTAATTATATACAACATATAAAATCTGATTATATACAATGTGTTTGGTTTATAGATAATAGTGTCAAAGGTATTGTATTTTATGTAAATTCTGGTTTGGAACTGAAATGGAAGAATTGTCATTGCTGAGTTATTCCCACAGCCCAGTGGTAAAAACAACAGAACAATACCCAACCAATGCCTAGTCCGGCCCGAACATAGAGGATAATTCAGCAGTCAGATGACAGACTCCAAACTGTGTACTGCCTTCAAATGAGCAAATATCAGCATAAGAATACCAAAAATATGAAAAAGAAGGCAGTATTATATCAAAGTCAATAGTCATACAACAAAGGATCTGTATGATAGTAAGGGGAGTAATCTTAAATACAAACTCAAGGGAACAATGGTAAGTATGACCAATGAGATGAAAAAGGACATGTGTAAGGACCTCAATGAAATTAAAAAGAACACAAAATAATTCAGAGATTACAAATAAAAAACGTAATCAAAGTCAGTGCAAATAAAGTTAAATGAACTTGAAGAGGGTACAAGTAAACATCAAATTGAGCATTAAAAAGATACAAATAGTCCAAAGGAAATAAAGCAATGCAAGATAATAAAAGGAATAGAAATCTTAAAAAAAAAGATCAAGAATCATTTTTTTTGGGAGAGGAAAAATACAGTTAAATGCCTCTTCAGCAGAATAGATAAGATGAAAGATAGAATTTCAGGACCTGAAGATAAGATGGCCATGGTAGAAAAATTAGAAGTATATAAGGAAAGATATTAAAGAAGTAGGGGATGAATTTGAAAGATCCTTTAGGACTCTACTAAAACAAAACAAAATGAAAAACAGACTTATAAATTCTAGGCACATGGGAAGCAGAAGATGCACCAGCTAAATACATTAAGAACTATACTCAATAAAGTAATCACAGAAAATTTCCCAAAGTTTGAAAAATGAGAAGACCATGCATGTACAGGAGCCCTTCAGAATACTCAACAAGCTAGAATAGAACCTCTAAGGAGATATTATAGTTAAAGCACTGAGCACAGAGAATAGGAAATATACAGAGAATAAGGAAAAATACCGAAAGCTGCAGGAGAAAAGCACCAAATCATGTACAATGGTAAACCTATCAGAATAACAATAGATGTCTCAACAGAAACCTTAAAACAAGAAGGGATTGGAACCTGAAATCATACAAATAATTGTGGGAATGCTTGAGGAGATAGGAAGGAATGGGAGGTGGTAAGGACTAAACAGGAGGGATCTTAGAGACTAAACCATGCTGAAATACCTTGCACCTGTGAACAAAATAGCAGAACAAAACTCACTGAAAGCTGTTGAATAACAGGGGGTAAGATATTGAGGAAAGTAAGAGCAAGCAAGTATGTCAATCTGATTAAATTATGGTATATATGAAATACCCGGATGAAGCCTCTTTGAACAATTAACATGAACTTTAACCAAAATTAATTGTCAAGAAGGGGAAACATGTTCTGGATGGGGTAAGGGTATTAGTGGGATGGAGGAGGGTAAATGAAGAGAGTAAAGGAGAGGAAATAGAATTAAAATGTGCATGTGTGAAAATAATGCAATAAAGCTTTCTGAGACTGATTTGGGAAAGGGGAGGGAGATGAATGACTGAAGGGGTAGCTCTGATCAAATTATATTGTGTATATATAGGGCGTGTCAAAATGAAATCCCCTTGTACAGCTAATTACTGCTAATAAAAAAAGAAAAAGATACTTCAGTGAAAGATAGATCCTACATGTCCTAAAGATGATCAGAAAACAGTAAAGTGCTGCATAGTCCATGGAGAAGACCAGAAAGCTACACCTCAAGGTCACTGTAGAAGGGAGAAGCTCAGGATGCATACAAGAGATTGGTTCCAAATCCATTAACTAAGATACGTAAGTGTCTGTCGTACTAAGGTGATTCTGTTGAGGAATCTTGTCAGTGCAGGAGAAGCAGATGATGACTTGGAAGTTGAAACCAAAAAGAATGTGGAAAATAAGACAAGGTTGGAAAATGTGTGGTGTTTGAAATTCCTGGTGCCCCCTGATGATGAAGCAGCACGAATATTTTTAGAGATCAAGAGCTGAGCAACAATTAACGCTGTTGTTGAGCTGAATGGTAGGTATTTGTGTGGACAAATGGCAAAAGCATATTTCTACTCTTTGGATAATTTCAGGGTCTTGGATTTGACAGAATAATCTTGATTTTTAAGAACGGGAGTAATTTCTGGTGATCTCCAAGTGAGTTACAGACTGAGCAGTAAGAAAGGCCTTAGCTCCAGGACTCTTGGGAATTGAAATTCTTGGGAGGACTTCTAAGGGATGTGTTGATTGGCCCCTTTTTATTTTGTGTTATAAAAATATAAATATATTATGAACATTTCTGATAGTTAGGGTAACCATTTATAGTAGTTGAAGTCTTTTTTCCTGGCCTAATTATGAATAGCATGCCTTTGCAATCTCAAAGTAGTCAAATTTAGATAAACTTTCATATATTTATTTTATATATATATTTATATGGAATATTCCATATATTTATTATACATTTCAATATGCTGTTTCATGAAGTACTTCATCAGAACTGTGATCATTTTTTCCTACTAAGTTTTCTGACATCCCAAAACTGATTTGGAAATATTTGTCCTATGATGTGTAAGAAGCCTTTTCCAATTATATAATTATAATTATCTTTCCTAATCCATAGCTTGTTTTTTCCCTCTCTCTGAGGATAACATGATGTATCCAAATATCTCAAAGTTGTAATTTATAATTAGAACTTTTGGATCTTATTTAATAACTCTTTCCCTATTTCTAGTTCATGGAGATATTCTCCAATTTTTTTCTCTAGAATCTTATTGTTTTAACTTTCACATTTAAATTTATAATCCAATTGAAAGTGGTTTTTATGTACAATGTGAGATTCTGTTTTATAAGAAATTTGAGTGGAAAAATCTCCCTCTCTATTCTACAGTACCACATTTTTTATTTTCATGTCTCCATGTATGTTTGGATCTGTTTCTGGACTCTATTCAGGCCCATTCATCTAGGTATTTATTTTTTAATGCCAATGCCATGCTGTCCTAAATAATTATTTCTCACAATAAATCTTGATGCTGACACTATATACCCTTAACATTATTCTTTCTTCAAGATTAGATTTTCACATAAACTTTAAATTCAGTAGTTTACTATACAGAGGTACATTGATATGATTTGGAGGGATGATATTGAAATGATCAGTTTGGGTTAGAATTGGTATCTTTATAGAACTGAGGTCACAAAAATTGTTTAATTTTACTTAAGGGATTTTCAATTATTTTGGTTTCAAAACTTGTAAGCAAGATTTTGTAGTTTTATTTATTTAATTTTTTTGTCGGACGTGGGGCTTGAACTCTGGGTTGGGCACTGTCCCTGCATTCTTCAGCTCAAGGCCAGTGCTCTACCGCTTGAGCCACAGTGCCACTTCCGGTTTTCTAGTGGTTTACTGGAGATAAGAGTCTCACAGAGTTTCTTGCCCAGGCTGGCTCTGAACCGCAATCCTCAGATCTCAGCCTCCTAAGTAGCTAGGATTACAGGCGTGACCCACTGGAGCCCGGCTGATTTTGTAGTTTTATATGTAGGAGTATTATACTTAATTCACTGCATGCATTCCTTTCCATTTTAAAAGTTCATGTTATTGTACATGGTATTATTACTTCATTTTCTAATAATTGTTAAGTTTTTCTTCAGTATCTATCTATCTTCATTAGTTCCTCATGGATACTAAAACTTTCAGATATTCAATTCCCTTATATAAAATGGTATTGAATTTCCATGTAACTTAGGCATATTCTCTTATATACATTATATGATCTCTAGTTTCCTTAAAATACCTAGCATAATATAAACATCATATAACCATGTTGCTAAGCTGTATGTTTAGGAACAACTCATATGAAAAAATATGCTTACTATAGATTTTTATGTTTAGTATAGATTTCACTCTGAAGTTGATTGGATCATAGACACAACCTACAGATATAAAAGACCACTGTAATTGATGCATAGAAAAAAATTGATTCTGCATGTTAGACTTATATTCATAAATCTTGCTATATTTAATTATTAATTTTAATATATTATTAGTACAGTGTTTTGAATGTTCTAGCTATAACACCATGCAAATCTATCTCCAATTCATATGCCTTTAATCATGTGATTTTAGAGCATATGATTTTTCTTTTTTAGTATAGTAAGGTACACATATTGTTTTTGATAATTTCCAGGTACAAAACAAATACGCAGCTCCAAACAAAAACAGTAGCATAAACCATGTACCTAGTATCCTTGTAGATAGATATTTATTAATACCTCTTAGGTGCACTGTAGAGTATGAGGGATATAAAAATGAATTCAGTCATTATCCCTGAAGTTCACAGTATAATATAAATAGAAATAAAGACAAGTATTCAAGTAGAGAATTTACAAAACACGACTTTAAATAAATCTCCACATCAACTCCCTTTAGAGAAAGCAAGAGTAAGTAGTTTTCGACCCCTTAAAATAAGTCCTCAAAGCCAATGCTGCTGCTGCTGAACTGACATTTATTGGATGTTCACTGTGTATCAGGACCTCTGTTCAGTATTTTCACATGTGTTATTTTCTATATGGTTTCAAATGGCTCACTGAGGTAGGTACAGTTATTTTCCTTCCTTATCAGGTAAAAGTTACAGACTGACTGCCTGGAATGGGAGAGCCTGGTTCAAAGCAGGCTGACAGTAACAAACACATCTATCAAAGTTATCTTCAAAAAACAGAGTGGTTTCCTTCCTCTGGCTAAGGATAACATCAGAATTAAGGGAACGCCAGTAAGCAGGAGTCAGCCAATTTTAGAGGCTTCAAAAATAAGATTGGCACCTGGGGACTCGTCTCAGTAGACTGGATTGGCTGGGCCTGTTTGGCTTCATAGAGGAAGGGACACACTACTTCGACATCGGAGGTCTGAGCCAGCACCGAGCAATAGCCACACTTGTCTTTGCCAACTCTGGCATAACTGCAGCCCTTGCTAACCTCTCCTACAAATCTGGGGCAGCCGAGGGAAGCAGTCATAGTGAAGAAGAAGGAAGGGAATATTTGGTAGGAAAGACATCACCAGAGCCCAGTGGTGAGAACCAACTATTTAGGCTGTTCGCTATTGTAAAGGTAGTTTGCTTATCTGTCTTTTTTTTTGTCGGTCGTGAGGCCTGAACTCTGGGCCTGGGCACTGTCCCTCAGCTCTTCAGCTCAAAGCTAGTGCTCTACCATTTGAGCTACAGCACCACTTCCCACTTTTTCTGCATATGTGGTGCTAAGAAATCAAACCCAGGACCTCATGCAAGCAAGGCAAGCACTCTACCACTGAGTCACTTTCCCAGCCCCTTATCCATCATTTTTAAAGCCTTAGAGTTCCACTAAAGAATTTTTACTCTTGGTGTATATGCTATTCCATCCCTAAGGGAGATAGCATTGAAGCATTTGGTATGAGTAAGGATGCTAGAGTTTCTTGTATACATTTGCAGGGAATAATATTCAGTTCAAGTTGACATACATTACAGCTGAAATGACAACAGGATTTTCCTGGATAAAATCATCAAGGTAGAATTTGCCCAACAAAAGGACAAAGGGTCAGAGCTTGGAGGACATCCTGATACTGGTGATGGGGAGAGAAAAGGCCATCGAAGCTCATGATCTTAGCCTCACTCAAGGTTTTGCTGAAATTCAAAGTGTGAACAGATTGCTAAAGACTTTCTGGAGATTTCTATATCAATGTGTATCCAAAGTATAAGAAGTATATAAAACTTTTGGCTTACTAATTTCACATATAGGAATTTATCTTATAGTAACTGTCAAAACTGTGCGCCAAAACTTACAAATGGAGGTATGAGCCCTAGTATTACTTATCACAGGGATATTTTTTAAAACATTTGCATATTTCATCAGGAGTTGGGTAAATAAATTATAATGATCTACAGAATAAAATATGCATATAATTAAAATCATAGTAAAGAGGACTGATTCCTGACACAGAAAAGATTTATGTTAAGTGACGGTAATGTGGTATCTGCGGGTATGTAAAATCTTATCGCATGCATCAAAAGATCTTAGGAAAATTATAACCACAAAAAGTTCTTTTTGTATTGCTTGCCTACAGGCATTTAAAATTTATTTTTCTTATTAGACAATCTCATCTTACTTGATCATAACGTTTAATGTAACTTACAGTATGCATTGGCTGTATAACCCTAGCCAAATCACTCAACTCTTACTGCCTCGATTTTATCATCTACATTTATCTTCTGCACATCAAAATAGCAGTGCTGGTTATCTGCAAATTTGGACACTATAGTTCATTCTCATCTTTTCTTCTTTGCACTTTTTCATGTTTAATAAGTTTCTTTGGGAAGATAAAAGGGTTTTAAACTTTCTAATGTAAATACTTACAAAGTCATACCTATCAAAACATATCTGCTTCGTTGTTTTATAGCCTCCCTTCAGGATTATTTAATCTAAACTTTCCACCATGAGAATCTCCCAAATTAGACTACGTGGGATGAAGAAGCCTTTCTAGGAAGCTGTAGTTCAAATAAACATGTTATCTGAGAATGCCTAGTTTTTCCAATTAAAAATGCATCTACTTAAATTTTTTTGCCTAGTTTCTGTGCTCATAGGACCTTTCTAGTTAATGGGTCTAATTAAAGATGGTTGATAGATCAGCTCAGGAAACCAGTACAACAAACCTGTCTTACAGTCTAGCCTCTCAAAGGCAGACAAAAGAAATGTAAAATGAATTGGTGATAATGTAAGATAATTCTATTAATATGCCACGTGTTTTCTTTCTCAAGAAAGATAAGCATAACTTTAACAACAAATAAACCCTGAAGGTTAATCTGCTGGTGAAAAATACTTGTTCTAGCACTAGTCCTAAGACAAGATGAGGGAACCAATGTTCAGAGTCCTTTGGGTTGGGCATATAGCTCAATAGTAGAGCACTTGGCCCTGTGCATATAGTTCTGGGTTCAGTCACCATCATTGCAAGAAAATAGAGTCACATATTGTTTCCTGAAATAATGAGACAAAGACCCTCACTTGAGAAAGCAAACTGGCTTAAAGTAAGGATCAATGATAGAAGAGTTCCAATGGTAGATGCGTTTCAGCAGATTCACAGATCTTCATTTCACAATGGGTTCAGTTTTGCACATTTTTCTTTGTAACAGAGTATACCTACTAGAACATAAGGTGTTCAAGAGAATAGGGACTGAATTGTCCTGCCAGGTTTGCACTTGGCATCGTGATTGCAGTAGTGCTCCATTGTGAAGATTTGACAGTTGAAATGGCTCTAATGCTGTAAGTCAAGCATCTGTCTCAGTGCCTGGGGCCCCATTATCCTTAAGTGCTACATAACAGGGGCAAGTATTATGGAGTCTCAATGACAGGCTTTTAAAAAATCAGAATTTCTCATGGAAGAACTCCATGGTACAAAGATTTAGGGTCAGATTAGGGTCATGGTACCTTACTGTTAACTGTGTAATTCTAAGTATGGCCATTACGGCAGAGGGGATCTGGGTCATGCTGAGGTTCTTACCACTTCTGAATTTGTAACCAACACATGGATCCCCAAATCCCTCCATGCAAAAGACGTGCCCTATTTTCTAGTAATTTTCTGCCATTCCCCTTGCTGAAAGAATCTTTCTTATTTATACATCAGGTTCAATGGTTCATTCCTTTTGTGGGCAGAAAACAAATCCCATATTTGATATAGCACTAAACATTTCCCCATAACTATACAATTGGAAGGAAGTATTAAATTAAGCAATGAAATATAATGCATTGGATCAATAATGGCTTGTTTTGTATTCGTGTGCTTATTTTAATGCACTATTTTCAGTGTAACTATAGGGAGTTGAACTCAAAAGCACAATGCCAACCAACAAGAAGGCCAGAATAATAGTTTTGTGATGAAGGTATTTGTAAATAGCATATGGGGCTCCAAGAAGTCAGGTGATAATAACGGTAGATCAGCTGAAAGGTAGATTATGTCCATTCAGCCTCAGACAAAGCTCATGGTTAGAATAAACCCAGAAAAGTACTCTACACTGGCAAAGGAAAAGAAAATATTTTGTCTGAATATTCTAAAGATACAGTGAAGCACGTCGACTTACTTTGATCTCATATTATATTTACTGTGATTTGAATGTTTTTTAAAATAATTTTCCAGATGGTTAACAATAGTTTCATAAAATATATATTTTCACATAAGACATAGAGAATCTAAAATTTAAAAAATCTTTATAATTTCAACTGATAACAAAAATATTATAAATGTGAAAAATTAAAGTAATAATAGAATCAAAAGGTGAGATCCTCCTCACCTTCTACAAATATATAATGTGTTAATTACCAATATCTAATATATTCAAAAATATATAGCAATAAAGACAAGACAGATAAACAGACCCACACCTGTGGCTTACACCTGTAATCCTAGCTACTTGGAAGGCTAAGAACTGGAAGAGCATGGCTCAAAATCCAGTCTGGGAAAAAAGTCCATGAGATTCCATCTCCAAAATAACCAGCAAAACCTGAACTAGAGGCATGTCTGAAGTGGTAGAGTGCCAGCCAAATGAGTATGATGCCCTGAATTCAAATCCTAGTATCCACAAAAAAATAAAATAATTATATATTATGTATGAGCTGTACAGTTATTAAAATATAGTTTCATCTGAGGGAAGCTAGTGCCAAGACCCCGAGGTGGGTGTTTGGGTGCCATGGCATAAGAACAAAGAAAAGAAAAACTACTCTTAACAGCTCAGAGTGAGCCTGACTGGTGTCAGTGATTCATGACTGTAATTCTGCTACTCAGGAGCCTGAGACCTGTGGATCATGCTTCAGAGACAGCCAGGGTAGGAAAGCTTGTGAGTCTCTTATCTCCAATTAACCACCCAAAAGCAAAAATCCAGATTTTGAGCTATGGCTCCAATAACCTTGAGCTCTAGCCTTGAGCAAAACACAAAGCTTGAGGATAGCAGGCCTTGAGGTCAAGCCCTAGGACTGGCACAAAAAAGAAAAAAAAAAAGAGGTCAACCTGACAGTCTACAATGGAACACTTTGTGTTATACATAAATATGTGTATTTGTACATATATACATGGTGAATATTTATCTAGCGATATGTGTCTACATATCTATCTATATACATGAAAATAAACTCACTGAATTTATCTATAATCCTCTGTAGTACCTTATAAACTTCAAAGTTGTTTTGACATATTCTGCTTATCAGCATAATCAGCCTACATAATTAACATCAAGCAATAAAACCAACCAATTTACTGTTTATTGGCAGCAATTTTTAAAATATGGTAGTGTTTTAGAGCAGCTGTTGAGAAACAAATGTTATATACACATTTTTATTATTAAACATTTCATAGTTTACTATATGGCAACTCAATTATAAAAGAGCATTTGAGTAAGGATGCTCACTTTTTGCTAAAACCAGATTGGAGATTTTTACCCCAGTAAACTCAGGGATTGCTGTTGGTTCACATTCTGTCCATTTTTCTTCAACCAGCAAATCATTGGCATTGTGACAATGAAACCTTAGATTCCCTCTTACCTCCGCATCAAAGCGTGGGTCCTGGTAGGCATCACTTATGTTCACTGGGAGGCCTGTGGAAGCAACCAGCTCAGCGATGCTGTTATTTATCAGCCAGTCAGAGTATGATGATTTCTCCATGCTTTCCTTGAAGCTGTCAGAGCATCAAGGCAGGCAGCAAGAAAAGAGAGAAGCATAAGTTTGACATAAACTCTATCCAATTACCCGAATAGAATTATTTATCCTCATTAAAAACAGATAAGTAATCTTAGTCATAGAACAACAGTGAAGTAATAATTAGTAGCTACTTTCAAATGACTTACCTGCTAGAATATAAAATAATCAAGTCCATGGATAGAAACCACAGATTCTCTATGACCTAAACCCAACTCTAGGTTATATTTAGGTTTCAAAGGAAGCAGGTATAAAAGCAGTTAACTAGATAACCAAAACTGGTCATAGACCACCAACATTTAATAAATTACTAAGCCCTCCATCCTGTCCCCCTTAATTATACAGACTGGATGTTTATCAGCTCTCACTGTGGGACAAGAATAGTCTAGATGTGTTTGCCCAATTCATTGTCTTCATATGATTCCCCATATTTGACAGATCAGAATATTGAGGCTCAGAAGTTTTAGTAACTTTCAAGGATGATGTATACTTTTTACTTAAACTTGAATCCTAGGCCCTAGATTATTGTATAATTTTTCCGATGTGTTTCAGGAATGAATAGGTAGGAGAAGAACAGGAATCATGTGATAGTACCTTAAAAATTAAAGGTCGGTGCAGTCAGAGAGAGTTTCAGGCAGATGCTGAAGGTAGTAATCATTTTAGTCTACCCTTCAGTCCAAGGTAAGGGGAAGAAAAGATACTGAATTTGATGAGTAAATATCATAGGTCCTTACTTAAACAGAATTCCCAGAGGAGACATTAAAACAAAAACACTGGGTAAGGGCTTCCGAAAGACTCAGACTAAATCTAAAATGCCTTCAAATAACTTTTAGTTTAGGCCACATGCTGCACTGAATGCATTCTAATGTCCTTGAATAATGTAGAAAGAAAAAGTTCCTTAAGAGTCTAAAAAAAGTTAAATCAATATAATCAACACCTAAATTTCACTGAAATATCATTACAAGGTTAAAATTAACTATTCACTTTCTTTAACTCTAGAAAATACATCTCTCTAAGCTCAGGATTAATTTTTAACTAACAAGCTAACTGTAGAGAACTCTTTTAGTTTATTATTTTATAAAGGTCAGGGTATAGAGGTAGGTATAGAAGTGAGTTCCATGTAAAGGACTCCATTTCAGTTGCTCCTTCCTTAATAATATCATGCCAAATGGAAGACTCAAACTGTCTTCCAAGAAATCTTCATGAACACAAATACATTGACTGCGGAGTCTAAGAATAAAAGAGAATTGCCCTGTTATAGAAAATACACACTCCTGAAATATGGCTGTCCCTGAAGTAAGGGCCAGTGAGGTAAACATAAACCTCAGGAATGCCAAGTCCAAAGTAGCTTAAGAGAGAAATCAATATCAGCAAGACAAAACAAGACAAAATAAAACACATCAGGACAAGTGACTTCAATATCTTCAGTTATCTAAAACACCACATAGAAAACTGCAAGAAAATAAACTTCCCCCTATCTGCAGAATTGCTTCTCAGAGTCTCTAAATGAGAAGGTGAAACTATTTGAAAAACATAAGGTTAATCATCAGACTGTGTTTGTGTTGATGTTTTTGTTCTTAACATTAGAGTTCACTTCAATATCATCACTAGGAACTCTTAAGACTTTACTCTTTTAAGAATGAATCTTGTATGGGGAGAATGAAGATTTTTTTGTTTTTGCTGAAAGGAGTTGATCCATGGAAACCCATCTGTACATGAAATGTCTGCCTAGTTCTGCCTCTCCCTCCATACTTACAGAGAGGGTAAGGACAGAGAAGAGAGCCATACGTTCAGGAAGTTTACAGACAATGATGATGGACAATGGGAATGCACATAATGGAGGGATGTTCAAGATATTAAAGGAATGGTGGAAAGATTCAGTTCTGTTTGTGTTGGGAATGGTATTTAGATAACTACAAAAGAAGATGGTCTAAGTTAGTCTTTGAAAGATAAGGGAAAATAAGTGTTCATTAGAAGGATGATTGAATGATTAAAAAAAACAATTTAGACAAAACTACAGCATGAGTGGAAAAACCTCCCATGCTCCTGGATTGGAAGGATCAACATCGTGAAAATGGTAATACTTCCCAAGGCTATCTACAAATTCAATGCGATACCTATCAATATTCCAACCTCATTCTTCAAGAAAAGGTTATTATTATGCCCTGTATGTGGTCCTTCCTTTCTTTTTTCTTTTTTTTCTATCTTAGTTTTCTGTACCCTTTGTCTCATATATAAGTTTATTTGATCTGTGGAAAGGAAAGGGAATCACAGAAACAGCAGGACAAAGGATGAGCCACTGTGACAGTAATATTCATTTGATACTATGTTGGAAATTATCTTTACATCTTTACATCTTGGAGGGGAAAACAGGAGAAAACTTTGGATAGGGTAACTGTTTAAAAACAAATGTACTCATTACCTACATATGTAACTGCTCATCAACTTTTCAATAAAGATTTTTAAAATGGTCAATCGCCCTCTTGTCAGTTTGAGTATTATCCAATGAAGGTAAGAATATGAGAGATCAAGAGTCAGGAACTATTTGAGAAAGATGCTTCTCTTTCTATGCTTTGCAAACAAAACTTGATTCTTGATGTACAGGTTAAACATGGTAGTATTTGATATTTTGTTTCATTGACTAGATTTCAATCGGAACTTTGGTTCACAAAAAGAAACTCCATACCTTACTTTCTCTTATCAAGAAAAGTCAACTCCTGGAGCCCTTTCTTAAGCCTCCAGCTGTGCAACATATTTGAAGTTATCTTTTAATTGGGAGATTAAGGAAATAAATCAATACTTGTAGGACTCAAAGCTGGAACCCCAGCAGGAGAATCTTAAAGAAACAGGACTAAGGCATTAATAATCTCCTATGAGCTTCAATATATCTTTGAAGGTTATCAAACTACTCTTTTAGCCATAAAAGGAAATGAGAGAGTGTGCAATTAGAACCAGCCAGTCAGTTCGTATACTGCAGTAGGAAAGATGCTATAAATTGCAAGAGTTCTGGAAGTTTATTGTGACCTGTTAATGAACTTGCATTTGAGGTATTGCCTGAGGACGTTTTATTACACATACTTGATTTCTCTAATTTTAGCATGCTGTGTTATCACAAATCAGGACATGGAAACCAAAGAACACATTTTCTATACTTCATTACTTTAAGTTATCAAATTAAAATGATGAGGTTCTCCCTGGACTGCCCTTGGAATTGGCATTACTTTGGGAAAGGGTCTTAGGACTCTCAGATGGGTGTCAAATGGCATTTCATTGAGTGGTTGATGTCTTTCATTTAGAGTAAAGTTCTTAGTTTCACAGCAAAAGGAATCTGTTTTGATTTGGGTTGCTATTCTAATCTTGGTCATTACTTGGCAGCCGTGAGACTACAGGCAAATATATGAATGGAAAACAGGAGAAATAAAACCTATTTTACAGGACCTTTTTTGAGGGTTTGATATCATACTGTTAAAGACTGTGTGCACAAAGACGGCTCTTGACAAATATTAGTTCTTATATCACAAAGATTTCCTTTTATTAAAACCGCCTAGATGAAACTTGCTTAATTTAACTGCTTAGCTCCTAGGGCAGGAGAGGGGTTTCTGGTTTTGACTATGGTCGCGCTGTCAGATTTGGAAAGGAACTGAAGAGAAAGTGTGCTAGTTGGCACAACTGCAGATAATAGTGCCCTGTTAAAATTATATCCTGTGGCCATCACCATAGATCTCCTCTAGATTGAGGGCACACCTCACAACAAAGCTTGGGTACCCATACAGACAGCAAGACAGGAGAAGTAGACTTGTTTGTTAAACTGATAGCCAAAGCCTACTAAAGAAAAACCTACAAAAATAAGTTAAATATCAAAACCAACCATTAAGACTTCTGAGTAGTCATAATTCTGTTTACTACTTATAATTAATCCAAGAATAGTTAACCTACATAAGCCATTTTCTTATGTTCAAGTTCAGTATTTTTTTCCATGTGTTTTGTTCATGGAAAATCCTTATAGCTTTTCTTTTTCTTCTCTGTGACAGTCTTACTAGAATGACAAGGTCTCTAGGCTAAAATAAAGGTAATAACAAGATTGGTTTTTACTTCACTTTTCATGTCCAAAGATACGAAAATATAAACAAAAATTACATATTTTAATTTTGTTTAAGAGGTGAAAATAAGATACTTAAAATATGTTTGATTGAATCTCTCAAGATTAATTTAAAGTGCTGGGAATATGGCTTAGTAGTAGAGTGCTTGCCTAGCATGCATGAAGCCCTTGGTTCAAATAGACAGAAAAAGCCAGAAGTAGCACTGTGGCTCAAATGATAGAGTGCTAGCCTTGAGCAAAATAAGCTCAGGGGCAGTGGTCAGGCCCTGACTGTCAATAAAAAAAGATTAATTTGGAAGATATACAACTTCTTTACAAATATTTCTTCATTTTCATGTTTCTTATAATTAATATCATAGATGAGAAAAATGAGTTATTTAGGAAGAAAACATGCAAACATAGAAGTATCCAAATGATGTTTCCCTAACAGTTGTGCTTTGTTAGGGCCAGTAAAAGTATCTCAGTGATGGATCTCAATCTCAACAATCTGAATTCTGTTAGTAAAAGAAAGCAGAGATATCTAGGTGACTAAGAATCGGGATTTCTACTGAAGGTAGCATCCTTGGTAACAAAGGAATATCAGAGATCAACCTCTGGTACCAGTCTCAGCTTCCAGTGGGGATAACTCAGACTTACAGGGCCACCATCTTGTTCAGCAATTAAAAGGCAACATCAGATTTGGGCCATTTGGATCTCTGCCCTTCAATGAACAAAATTAAATATTGGCGTAATAAAGTTTAGTAGCTCCGAAGTCCTAGACAATAGATAGTCAAAAAGAATGTCCAAAGCTCTTACAGGAAATTATGTATCAACATAATTTAATTTTCAATGACAATTTTCAATGTTTTCTTTATTTCTTTCCCCTATAATGCTACCTAGAA